AGCATAGCTGAATCATTGGTATTGTAGTCACTGGAGGTGCTCAAGACCTGCGTGACTTTTCCTGGAGGGATTACGTTATACAGTGGTGCATTACGACGTTAATTCGTTCCAGCGAAATCACTGTAGAACAAAAGTGAAAATAAAAAAGCCATTGAAACGCATTAAAACCTGGTTAATGCATTCCAATCGGCTAAAAACTCACCGTCCAGTGAAGATCCTCCATAGGGGCGGCCATTTTCAGGTCCCTGTGCAGCAAAAAATGGCTCCTAAACACAACGGGGAGCCATTTTGAGCACCCGGCGGCCATTTTGAAAACCCAACGATCAGCTGTTTTGATCGTCGGGAAGCGAAATTCCCCCATTCAAAATGTCATTTTGCGATCGTAACGTGGATTCGTCGTTAAATGGAGCGCCCGTCTTGCGAGGCACCACTGTAGTTTGGAGCCACTGTTGAGACAGACCAAGAGACAGTGCAATCTGCTTTAGGAGCCAAAGTTTCTTGACAGAGGATTTGCTATAACAAACAACTTTGTGGCTTCTGGAAGGCATACATTACAATTTCAAATAAGCAAATAGGCGAGAGAAATCAGGACAGTGCGTAGCCTGGAATGACGGGAATTGAGAAAGCATGATAAAATGGCAAGCCATGTATCAAAAAACATGATGAGGGCTCATCAGTTATGTATCATCAGAACCTAGCATTGCCAATGAGGTGCTTTATTCTCTGAGCAGAAGCAGCAGAATGAATGCTGGAAAAGACAAATGCTTTACCACCAAAGAACATTCACTGTGATTAATATGTTTTCTCGGCATGACTGTAATGCATTTTACAGTCACACAAGGCAAAATCTCAGATTGCAAAGGCATCTCATTTCTAATTTCTGGTTTTATCTCCCCTCCACTGCTCCTGCCCTACACCTGACGTAGATCCAGAAATAAAATTTAAATAGCTGAGTGTTACCTTGCCTTTGTACAAGCTCAGCTGGTATAATAAAACAGTAGTATACAAAGTCCCATCGGTTTGATTTACATATTGTTATGTGTTACCTAGACATCAGCAGCCTCTTGAACCCATGGAATTTGATCCAATTAAAGGTTTCACTTTGCAGAATTTTTATACCTCTTTTTAAAAAAGAAATTACATTGTATCCTTTATTTGCTGTGTGCTGATGTTAAAGCAATTATTAGCACCATTAAACAGTGACTCACTTGATACAATGATTTCCCTACTGTCTCTTTTGTGGCCAGCGAAATGTACTGTAATTTCATTTCCAAATAAGCAGCCATGCAGAACTTAGATATCTTTAAGAAATGCCCCCTTTCCACCCATCTTCTCTTTATAACCCCCCTTCCTTTGCATTAATTTGCTTGTGTCTTACCCCGTAGGGTCAGCATTAAGAGTGCAGTTGCCTACTTTGATGTCTAGGCATCTTTGAAAGCTCCATCACGTAGTCCCTCATCATGAACATGGGCTCCAGCGTCATGTTTACACCGCAGAGCAGTATTATTAGCTTCATACGTCTCTCTTACGCTTTGGGGGAAAAGGCTGGGTGCGAAGACGTACAATTCCCCCACCCCTTCCTATGCTCATGAGGAAAGATTAAAAAGGACTGTGAGATCAAAATCCCCAGCCTTTTGCCTACTCCAGCTACCCCAAGCTTTTATTTATTTTATTATTGACTGCAGTCCCCAGTGATGCACGATGGGCAAGCTGGAAATTTGATCTTTATTGACTTTGCCACCTCTGAGAATAAAGAAAATGAGTAAGAACGAAAATAGTAATTGGAAATAGCTCTAGTGGAGGAAAGCTGTCATGAGACGGATTGATTTGACTGAGGCAGAAGTAACATTATTGATTGCAGGTCCTTAGCGAATTAAAAAGAAGACCTTAAGCTTTAATATGCCTCTTTGTTTCCCTTTGTGTCTGTGGACCCAAGAGGGACTGAGACAAAGAAGTGGCAGCTTGGCATGCTCTGTTCGGATAAAGCTTTACAAAGAAACATTGAAGTGTTATTGGCCTCCTTCCTTCAGGAAGTGGTCTTGGTTGTGCATAAGAATGAAATCCTTCAAAATTGCAGCATAATCTATTTTATTGTTGTCGTCGTTGTTATATTGTAAAGAATGATAGAAATAGTTTAGTTATTTATTTATTAAATTTGTACCCCACCCATCTAGACTGAAGTCTACTCTGGGCAGCTAACAATAATAGGTAGAAGTAAAAAGAATAAAATAAAATAAAACAACAGCAATAATATAGTTCAAGGTGGCAAAAAAGAATCAAGTGATGCCTAAAGGGCCAGGTCTTAAGATTGCTCTTAACAACACCCAGCGAGGGAGCCAGACAGATCTCTGGGGGCAGACTGTTCCAGAGGCGAGGGGCCAAATCTGAGAAGGCCCAGTTTCTTGTTCTGTCTCTCCGGGCCTCCCTTGGCGTTAGGCCCTCAGCCACCCTTCTTGGCTACAACGAGTGATCTGGATAGATCTAGGTGGGAGGAGGTATTCCGCTAGATATCGAGATGCTAAACCGTTTAGGGCTTTGTATGTTATCATTAACATGTTGAAATCAATGCAGAAATGAATGGGCACCCAATGCAAGGCAGCCAGAGTAGGGGAAATATGCTGATATTTTCTCACCCCAGTGAGAAGTCTGGTCGCTGCATTCTGCACCATTTGAACCTTCTACATCAATTTCAAAGGTAGCCCCATGTAGAGCGCATTACAGTAGTCTAATCTTGAGATTACAAGTGTATGGACCAGAGTGGTGAGTGCCCCGACATCAAGATAGGGATGCAGCTGGGCAATCCACCAGAGATGGAAATAGGCAGAGTGGACCACTGACGCCACCTGGGTTTCCATAGTACGCGCTGGATCCAGATGAACCCCCAAGCGTCAAACCTCACTCTTTCCCTCCAAAAGAGAGGAAGCTTCCCAAACCACCGATGGCGAGGCCACCCACTCTCAGGACCTCTGTCTTGTCCGCATTCAGCCTCCATTGCAGTACAACCTCCAGGCAGCGCTGAAGGGACAGAACGGCATCCACTGTTGTTGGAAAAAGGATGTAGAGCTGGGTGTCATAAGCATAAGCCCCACACCCCCTGATGACCTCACCTAGCAGCCTCATATAGATATTAAACAGCATTGGGGAGATAATCGAGCCTTGCAGAACCCCACAATTGAGACTCCATGGGGCCGATTCTCCCCAAGCTGTACACTCTGAGGATGGTCCTCCTAGAAGGATTGGAGCCAAGCAAGCACCAGACCACCTATTTCCAACTCGGAGAACCTCCCCAGGAGGATACCGTGGTCGACGGTATTGAAGGCAGCTGAGATATCAAGGAGGACCAAAAGAGACGTTTTGTCCCTGTCGGACTCCCTCAGCAGGTCATCAAACAGGGCAACCACTGCCGTTTCTGTGCCATGGCACGGCCTGAAGCCTGACTGGATCCAGGGCATTGGGGTCATCCAAAAGGACCTGGAGCTTGTCAGCCACCACACTCTCTATCCCTTTGCTCAAGAAGGAAACATTGGCGATGGGCCTATAACTGCCAGTGTCGTCCGCCGCCAGACTTGGTTTCTTCCTGATGCGCCTAATGAGTGTCTCTTGCCGTCATTGAGGGCAAGAGGAACCTTGCTGTCCTGGAGAGACCCATTAATTATTGCTGTAGCCCATTCAGTTGTTATAGGCCTGGTTGCTTTGATTAACCTGGCTGGGCAAGGGGTCAAGGAAGGTAGGTGGTGATGGCACAACAGTGATCAGGCACTTTGTCCACCATATTCTGACATCACAGTCTGAAAGTGATTCCATCTTGTCGGGCAGGGTGGCGCCCTGGATGTCTCTGCTTGATCTACTGGTTTCGAATAGGGGATAAGATCCTGGCGATTCTGAGATGCTTCTGGTGTAAAGAACACAATTTTTGTATAACATAATACTATCTTTCGTTGGCTCATATTAATTCGTATATACATTTATTTTGGGGGTGGAGACTGAAAATGATTTTTACAAATGCAGACACTGGAAATAGAATGAACCACATCGTGAGTGTTGGTTCTCAGACACACGTTCAAAATCATCAAACCTGGGTTGTCCCTCCTCTTTAACAAAAGGAAAACCAGGGTTAACTCTGTCAATGCGCAGAGTGAGGCAGCAGACTTAGGCAGCAGATGCTGGGAAACCTCAGCAGGAAAGGTGTTAAGAGATCAGAGTCATATATGATGCTTTGAAATGAAACAACTGAAATGCAACAGAAGTACAGACTTTCATCTTTAATTCAAGGGATTGAACAAAAGTATCATATGAAACGTTTAGGAATTGCAACCATTTTATATTCTTGGACAAATTAATCATAAACATAAATAAAATGTGCATTTTAAAAACTCTGTCGATAATCTTTGCAGGCAATGACTGCCTGGAACTCAATGGCCATCACCAAAAGCTGGGTTTCCTCCTTTGTGATGGTTTGACAGGCCTTTACTGCAGCTATTTTCAGTCCTTGCTTGTTCATGAGTCTTTCTGCCTTAAGTTTTGTCATCAGCAAGTGAAATGCATGCAAGATCAAGTTGAGATCAGGTGATTGGCTCGACCATTGCAGAATATTCCACTGCTTTGCCTTAAAAAAACACCTGGGTTGCTTTTGAAGTGTGGTTTGGGTCATTGCCCACCTGTAAAGTGAAGTGCCGCCCAATCAATTTAGCGTAGCTGATATATCCCTATACACTTCAGAATTAATCCAGCTGCTTCCGTTTTCTGTCACATCATCAATAAACACTAGTGACCCAGTGCCATTGGAAGCCATGAATGCTCATTCATCACACTGCCTCCACTGTGTTTTACAGATAATGTGGTTTTTCTATATACATGTCTTGTGTACACATGCACACACACGCACACACGCACGAACACACACACACAATCCAAGTGCAAAATTTTGCAGCCTAAAAATGGAAATCTGCATTGCTTGTAATTAAGTGTGTGAAATAATGATTGCTTTCCCCCCCCTCCAGATTGTTATGGATTTTAAGCATCCAGATGGACGTACACTAGCAGTTATGCTGCCTCAACGTAGTTTACTAGTGATGTCTGGAGAGTCCAGATACCTCTGGACACATGGGTAAGTGCTGAAAATCGTAAGTCAATTGTTTTGCAAAGTACATAATAACAGTGTGTTGGTGATGATTATGCTTGTTGTTCGTCATCACCATCATCTTAGAACTGCAGAGCTGGAAGGGCCCCAGCTTCTGTCAAGGAAGCACAGTTGTGAATCATAAGCTGCTAGAGTAAGAATGAGTAGCTTACAATTTTTGTTTGTTTATAGGAATGGTGCCATTTGAGTAGCTGGCACTTTGTGTAATAAAAGGTAGGCCTCTATTCCAAGGAGCTTATAGTTTGAATGGTGACAACAGAGGAAGACAGAGAAAGAAGAATGGATGGAAGGAAGAAAGGATGGATGGATGGAAGGAAGAAAGGATGGACGGATGGATGGACGGATGGATGGATTTCAGTGGACACAACTGTGCATACCAGTTTGTTTTCTATAGATATGAAGACTTCCAAGTTTATTAATTAGGAAAATATGTATTTGGAGGACAAAATAGTAGTATTATGTGATTGCTCTGGGAAGAAATTCAAGGCACTTTTATTTATGTAGCTCACCTTTCCTCCAAAAAGTTGAGGGTAGTATATATGGTCCCCCTCCCCATGCGCTCTGGTGAAGACAGTTATGTTGAGAGTAGTGACCAGATTGCTGTACAATCTTGGTGGCAAATGGGAAGAATTTAAGCTATAATCTCTTGGATTATAGATGATAGTATAATGTGCTAGCCATGATGGCGCAGTTGTGGCTAGCATGTTATACTATAAAGGAATAGGTAGAAACAGAAGTTTCTAAGACAGATAGAAACTTTGTGTGTCGGGGTGTAGAGGCAGGAAACCTCTGCCCAGGTCCTCAATACAGCCCATGGATGCTCCCTGTCCAGCATGTAAGATTCTTCGATTATTATTTTGATGAGTGATCAGTGTTACATACAGCACTGATGGTACCTGTCTGTCATGGGTTTGGAGGGAAAGTTCCATCCTATGGGGAGTGGAAGGCGGGACATCAGGGGGAGGAGCTGTACTGTATATATATGTGGAGCTTGTGTGGAGAAGAAGAAGCTGGAGTGGGAGTCTGTGTGTCAGACTGAGTACAACTGTGTGTCAGTTGGTACCTACCTGATAGGTTCAGGTTTCTTTATAGGTAGCCAGAACTGATAGGTTCAGGGTCTGTGCTTTACTTTAAAGGGTTCTGGGTGAACCAAACTGTTATATGTATATGTTTGAGACTAAGCCACGTTACTGTATCTTATTTACTTGATCTTTTTATTTACCCTGTTTGTTATTTAAATAAACCTTGTTCTTTTATTTGTTAAAAATCCATTCCTGGTCTGTGTGACTCCTTATAGGGAATGGTTGGTGGCAGCTTAGTTATAGGGTGATATATCCCAGTAGGTCTGGGGTTGTCACAATCAGAAATAAGAGATGGTTTAAATCTCAAAAAGCTGCTGCATGAAACTGAAGTATGCTTTGCAGCTTGGAAAGGTCTTGTACTGGGGCTTTCTCTTCAGTACAGATACATAGAAGAATTTTTTAATGTATTCGTGAAGGCTTTCACGGCCGGGATCTAATGGTTGTTGTGGGTTTTTTGGGCTCTTTGGCCGTGTTCTGAAGGTTGTTCTTCCTAACGTTTCGCCAGTCTCTGTGGCCGGCATCTTCAGAGGATAGAGTGCTGTCCTTTGTAGATGCTGGCCACAGAGACTGGCGAAACGTTAGAAAGAACAACCTTCAGAACACAGCCAAAGAGCCCAAAAAAACCCACAACAACCATTTTTGTAATGCTTAGTGATAAAATGGCCAAATGGATAAGCATTATGTTTGGCTCTGCCCACTTTGTTTTGACCCTGGGTTCTTAGCTACACCTACTACTGAAATGCAGTTCTCAAGATCATTTCCAAAATCCAGGCTGAAAAAGATCCTCTGCCCCTGGATTAGGGTGACATAAAGGCCTCATTTTAGATCATTAGATTATGGTGATCATGCGTAGATGGTGAGGCTATATCTAGCTTTGTATTGCTCAAACTTATGGTACATATCATGTTATTTGCCTTGCTGTAGTTCATTCAGACAGGAATGAACTCAACTTTCAAGAAGTCAATAACAGAATTAATGCTTGTCTTGCTGGGAGCCAAGTGTTGAGGACTTTGAAGTCAGCAATTCTGTTGGGCTTTCCGTGTGGGCTGGTCCGCTGGAGATCAATCTCTTTTTGATTCCCTGAGAGGCAAATTCTGTTTTAATGTAGTTGATTCTCAAGTGGAGGAAAGGGTTCAGCATGAGAAGAATTTGGATTTTGACACATTTCTGTTGAGAAGACTCTTCCAGTTTATACTCTCCTTTACCTTACTTATCAGTACGGTGGTGCCTCGCTTGACGGCGATAATTCGTTCTAGGAAAATCGCTGTTAAGCGAAAACATCGTAAAGCGAAAATAAAAAGCCCATTGAAATGCATTGAAAACCTTTCAGTGCGTTCCAATGGGCTAAAAACTCACCATCCAGCGAAGATCCTCCATACGGCCGCCATTTTCGGTGCCTGTGTAGCGAGGAATCCGTCCCTAAATACAGCGGGGAGCCATTTTAATTACCTGGTGGCCATTTTGAAACCGCCGATCAGCTGTTAAAAAACATTGTTTTGCGAAGAATCGGTTCCCAAAGCAGGGAACCGATCATCGCAAAGCGAAAAAACCCTATTTATATCATCGTTTTGTGGCGTGAAGCAGATTCATCGTAATGCTGGGTAATCGTAAAGCGGGGCACGACTGTAAATGGATACTTGTGGAAATACCTCTTTGTCTTTTCCTGTCTCCTATATTTATTTCTCTTTATTGCCTTCTTTCGATGTCATGAATTTTTTGCCTTTTGGAAGGACTGGCCCTACTGATAGGTGCAATGAGGCAGTTGAATAGTGGCAGATGCTGGGGAGAGCGATAATGGATGGAACCGTGTGTTACCACTTGGACTTCCCCATGCCTCCTAAGCAGCTGTACTGGAAAGGACAAGATGTCAGCTCCCTCCATCATGAAACCAAACAGGGCTAGGAGGGTCTCCGGCATCAAAATGTTATGGGCCAGACCAATGTTTTGGCCGTCTTCACTGAGAAATCTCGTTTCAGTGGAATTGTGCGCAGTTACATCTTCAGAAACTCTTTAAAGAGCTGCTTGAGATATTATAGCTTTAGTGAATAGGAGTTCTGGAACTGTTGCATGTACCTATTAAAAGTGTTAACGTTTGTGGTACACACTGAAGAACATATTTTGTTTATCTCATATCCAGTTCATTTTAACGTAACTCTTGGTTTTTCCTGGTTCTACTGTCTGCTAGGCATGTGTCATTCTTTTCTTCTTCTTTTAGAGAAAAATCCCATCATTTTTCATTCTGGGAGTTTCATCTTCAAGACCCACACCTAAATTGTACTCACCCAGAGAAAGGCCAAGCTAGAAAGTTGGGGTTGGGTATATTCAGAGTGGTATGGTGGTAGCTCAAGCTAGAAAGTTGGGGTATATTCAGAGTGGTATGGTGGTAGCTGCTTTTAGAACTCCTTCAGGGTCCAGTAAGGCCCTTGTTCTGTCAGTTGGTTACCCTTGGAGTATCAAATTTTAGAGTTGAAAGGGATCCCTAGAGTAATGATTTGTGCAGATACAAGAGGAATCTGCAACAAAATGTTGCAGTATAGAATGTTGGTTTCAGTATTTTAAGTTGCCAGCTATGGTTCCCTTAGATGTTTTCTTCTTTGTTGTCCTGTTTTGACTCCTTTCATCACTCACTGGCTGTTTTTGCATTTTCCAATTAAAGAAATGATTATATTGAAGATGCAAAAGATGGCACATATAGAATAAAGCACATGTTTTTGATCTCTGTGTGTATTTAGAGATCTTAGCCATAAATATTCAGGATGTTGTTTCAGCATTGCAATGGTTTTTCAGGATTAATTTAATCAAATGCACGTGTCATATCTGAAAAATATGACACTGAAACATTTAAAGGAAAAGGAAGAAGCAATGAAAGCAAAGAAAACTCTCTGTTCTCTGTTTTATTTTAAAGCATTACACCTAGGAAGTTTGACATTGTTCAGGCATCTGAAGGACAGCAAGTTGGAACCATCACTGCTGACGCTGGAAATTTAACGTTAAATAAAAGAGGGACAAGGACTTCCTTCACATTCAGGAAAGTGAGGAGAAGCCCTTGCCGTTGTTGTAAGTATTGGTTCTTGTGCTTGAAAATTTAAGTGTATTTTGGTGGGAATCGTGTAGACAGTCTTTGTGCTTTTTTTTTAAATGATCACACTTTCTATCATGGGAAAGTTCATTAAATATTCCCACTTTACAGATGGGAAAACTGGCCCATTCAATCAGACTATAGTTTTAATACTGAGACCCAAGTTTTCCCATCCCTATTACAGCCTGATTAAGAGTCCTGGGAAACCTGAAGTTTCCTTACTATTTTATGATGTTTTGGTTGGTCCTAATAAAAGTGCTGCCCTCCTTGAAGTTCTTATATCAAGGTTAGGGAAAATGTGGCATTCCAAATTCCAGAGGGTAGTGAACTGGCCCCATCCCAGTATGTTTGATCCTTGGCCATGCTGGTAGGGCCTGTTGGAAGTTGGGGTCCAGCAACATTTGAAGGGTCAGAGGAGTTCCTTCCTCCATTTTACGCAATACTGTACTAACCTAGAATTAGGACATTTGGGTAGAATACAATAATATTTTTCTACCTTTAAAAAACCCTTTTACTTTTCTTGGTTATGGATCCCTCCTTCTTCTGTATGTCTTGCAGAAGATGTTCCTGACCTTTTATTCTCTAGACTCCTGCAGCAAAAGCGTTTGCCTTAGTGAACGAGTGAGTGGTTGAATTAATGTAGGACTTTGGAGTGGAACATAGGTCATCTGCAAGCATTCTTCACAATACTTGTGTGTTCTTATGCAAAAGAGAGCTGACAAACTAAGGGCTCTTTAAGATCCCACCCCAAGGCCCAGAAGTAAAATTAAAAAAATAAAATAAAATAAATGCTACTGTAACAATCTTGGAGGGGCATCTTGTTTGTTTGTTTGTTTATATTTTCAAACCCTGAAGGCTGCAGAAATGCTGGGCTTTGCTCCCTGTTGTACAGCTTAATTGTGGTAACTATACCTATTCAGTGACCCCATGGCTTGTCTTCCTCCTTCCATATACTAAAGAAACTACTTGTGCTACTCATTGCTTTGGTATATGGGAAAGAGGAAGATAAGTCATGGGGACGTTGAACAGGTATGGTTACCCCAATTAAGCTGTACAACAGGGAGCAAAGCCCAGCATTTCTGGAGCCTTCAGGGTTTGAAAATATAGACAGACAAACAAACAAACAAGACACCCCTCCAAGATTGTGATAGCTGCATTTATTTTATTTATTTTATACTTGTTGTTATCATTGCTATTCAGAAAATCTGTCCACCATGTTGCAGGGAGATAACATCCGCATTGTTTTTACCAGTGACCTGAAAAAATACAGGGGAATAGCTCTCCGGCTACCTATATTAGCCAATCCTGATATTGTGCATTGAAAATACAAAAAACCCTACATGAAACAATAGTTCCTTTGTTCTTTACGAGTGATAGGAAAATGGCACAAATCTTGAAAATATTTTGTCAAAGTGCCTCTAGAAATGCTTTAGAATGCCCTTGGAAAGTAGCTTTTATCCCCAGAAGTAATTTTATGATTGCTCATTATATCACTTCTGATGTATTATTATTGACCATGTTACTAGTTTACAGATGATTTTGTTGCTTACAACAAGTAACCTCAAACCTCTGCATTTTGTATCCACAAGGCAACATCCATATGGGAGGAACTCTGTGTAGGCCAGATGGGCGGGGTATAAATCAAATCAAATCAAATCAATCAATCAATCAATCATCAATCAATCAATCAATCAATCAATCAATCAATCAATCAATCAATTCATAAGACTGTGCTTACTATTGCACTGAAGTATCATAGACTCATAGAATAATTGAGTTGGAAGGGGCCTAGAAAGCCATTGAGCCCAACCCCCTGCTCAAGGCAGGAATCCAAATCAAAGGATATCTGACAGGTGGTTGTCCAATTTTCTCTTGGATGCCTCCAGCATCAGAGGTCTGACCACCTCCCAAGATAATTGGTTCCATTGTCGTATTGCTCTAATAGTTAAGATTTTTTTTCCTGACATTCAGCCTAAATCTGGCTTCCTGTAGTTTGCACCCTTTATTACTCATCTTGTTCTCTGGAATTATCGAGAAGAGATCCTGCCCTTCCTCTGTATGACTACATTTCAAGTATTTTTAAAGTGCTGTTAAATCTCTCCTAAGTCTTATTTTTTCAAGGCTAAATATGCCCAGTTCCTTCAGTCTTTCCTCATAGGGCTTGGTTTCCAATCCCCTGATCAGATGATTGTTGCCCTCCTCTGAACTTGTTCCAGTATGTTGGCATCCTTTTTAAAATGTGGTGTCAAGAACTGGACACAGTACTCTAGATAAGGCTCAACCAGTCCTGAATAGAGGGGAACTAGTACCTCTTGGAATTTGGAGACTCTACTCATGTTAATGAATCCTAAAGTAGAATTTTCCTTTCTTTTTCTTTTTTGCAGCTACATCACACTGTTGGCTCATATTCAGCTTTTGATCTGCACACTTGCATTATTACTAAGCCAAGTATCTCCGATCTTGGGATTTGGTTTTTGTCCTTTCTCCACCTCCATTTAAACTTGTGTAATGTAGTTGTACTGGTTTTGGATGCATCACCATGGAATAGTGCAGATGTATCTCTATCTCTTTGCCAATGAGAGAGTGAAGATACGTAGTGCAATTTTGGGGACAGACCATAGAAATACCATCCCTCTTCTTTCATGAACCCCTCTCCTGATTAGATTTTGTGCCTTAGTGCTAACTATGGATTGGTTGAATCTACCGATGGCTCCTTTATAAACTAGAATCTAAGACCGCAATTTGAAGTGAGCTTGCAACTATAATTGGAACAGGCATTGGAACAGCCATCTTTAGGATTGGTATATGTGGAGGTCTAAATCATAGTTAACACTGATATACACAAAGATTCAAGGAAGCTGAGCAGGCCTGTAAAACAATCCTGTCTGCTTCCAGGTAAAGGGCTGCCTCATAACATTCAACTTGAACTTTGAAGGGATTGCAGGGGTCCTTAAGTAGAAGGGAATATCCGTCTTATTATGAATTTTTTGTGGCAGCTGCAGTGATAACAGCAAACTTACAGGTGATCTCACTCTGGCGGGTTCAGGGAGTGGGTGTCTGGTGTGCTGTGCAACCCTGGAGAGTTGCTCATCTATTGTATAATAATAATAATCATGATGTGCCATCAAGCCAATTATGGTGAACCTTTCTAGTGTTTTTTATGTATAAAGTACTTAGAAGTGGCTAACAATTCCCTTCTTCTGGGGATGCCCTCAGACTGTGGAGCTTGCCTCTTCTCCTGGAAGGCATAGTGGGGAATCAAACACTTAACCTCTGGCTCCACAGCCAGGTGCCTAACTCATAATGACTATCTTTTTAACCTGTAAAATCTTCCTGTGGATTAGGAGGTAGACAAATGAGCTGGTTTTTCATGAATGCACAAAGTAAACTTGCAATTTAAAATTAAAATTCAAAATAGGCAATTCAATATGAAGCTTTTAGTGGCCTCTTTATTAAATGAGGTCAATCGAAAAGGACTCCTCTGGTTCAAAACACAGTGTTCTCTGTAAAAATTAATAAATCTTTATGTTTCCACCCCCGCCTTCCTAGCGTATCCTTCTGTATGTGACAGTCAGCGTAAAGACACAGCACCTGCATTCCCTGATAATGAGAGAGAAGCTTTGGAGTTAGAGAAAAAGTACGTCCACAAGGTCTATGAAGAGATTGCCATGCATTTCAGTAACACCCGGCACAGTCCATGGCCACGAGTTGTGGAGTTTCTGAGGACCTTACCACGTGGGGCTGTGGTGGCTGATGTTGGTTGCGGCAATGGAAAGTATTTAGGAGTCAACAAAGACTTGTATATGGTAAGTAAGGCGCTGCTACTTGCATTTATCCTTGCTCTGCTAGCAAGTGTAATTAGTGTAATGGTTGTACATTACTGCATCCTGGTCACTGCTACTTGCATTTCTCCTTGCTCTGACAGCTACCAAGTGTTATTAGAGTAATGGTTGTACATTACTGCATCCTGGTCATAACATTTTCCATCTATAGCTCCAGGGGCTGATGGAAATCCAAGCCTAGTAAAAATATGGTACCACTCTAATCCTCTTATACCTGGGATGGGCATCACATACTGTAAATAAGATAGTGTTTGTGGGTGACTGTGCTCAATCCAGGTCTTTCTGGGTTCTAGGACAAAATAAAAGTCCCTCTCCTTCAATAAATGTACTTCTTCACATTCATTGTCACCAGCTGCTGCTGCTCCTTTTCTGCTGCCTTTCTCACCCTTGTTGTAACCTGCTTGCTTGATTTACAGAGAGAATTTAAGGAAATAGACAGTGTTGCCCTTTGCTCTTCTTTTTTACAATTGTTGAGCCAGAGAGAAAAGATGATGATTCAGGAACTTGAAATACAAATGCAAGTCTATGAGTATCATATTAGTGGGCTAGTCAGGGCTGCCCTACCTGTTCCCAGAGGGCCATGTGCAACATCCTATTATAATACAGTGACTCGTTTTAGAAGTCTCAGGTGGGTTTTTGCATGCCTTCCTCCTCTTTTTTTCTGGTTCCACTTTCACTTTGCAGTTGATGCCATTTATCATCTGCCAGGGCATCCATGCTCTTCAAATCAGACTTCAGTTTGTGAGCTCAGGTTGGAGTGTATAGGTCTTTCAATTTTAACTTTACAACAACCAACTTCAGCCTTAAAACAACCTTACAACCACCACTCTTTTTTTCATAATAAGCTTAAGAAGAAGGTGATCCTTAAAGAAGAATTCAAAAACAGTGGGCAAGGACCTGAAAAACAGACAGAATTCCAAGTCACAAATAATCAAATGTGTTTAATTCATGTGAAAGGCACAAGCAGTATAAATAATCCCAAAATAAATGTTCAGATGTTCTCGATCATGACCAAGTGCAGGACATGCAACAATGGGCTCAAGTTACAGGAAGCCAGATTTTTCTTGAAGATCAAGAAGAACTCCTTAACTGTTAGAGCAGTATGGCAATGGAACCAATTACTTTGAGAGGTGGTGAGTGCTCCAGCACTGGAGGCATTCAAGAGAAATTTAGAAGCCACCTGACACATATATCCTTTGATTTGCATTCTTGTACTGAGCAGGGGGTTGGACCCAATGGTTTTATAGGCCCCTTCCGATTTCATGATTTTATGATTCTGTGATGAAGTGCTGGACAGCTCAGCGGTTTAGGCATCTGGCTGCTGAGCCAGAGGTTGGGAGTTCAATTCCCCACTCTGCCTCCTTGACAGGAGGTGGACTTGATGATCCCAGTTCTGCAGTTCTAAGGTGGTTATGATGATGATGATGATGATGATGATTGTATATGCCACCACCAGAATAATCAGTTAAATCCAAGAGAAACAGGATTTCATACAAAGTACAGTAATATACCCAGTGAACAAACAGTCAATGTCCAGTTAAAGAATCTAATGTTGGCTACTCTGGAGTGTGTTATCATTTCAGTCATTGCTTCTTCAAAATAAAACTTTGAAATGGCTTGTATTGTTGCTAGCCAAAATAGATAAATGCAACCCCACAAGTAAAGAAAAAAACCCAGCTTAATTGCTTTTCAAGCAGTAGCACCGAGATGTTTACAAAACTGCAACCCCTTGTAGTAGGCCTATTAATAAATAGGGCTAACAAAATAGGTTACCAACATTCCATTCCTTAAGATTTCCAGGCCAAAACCTGAGACAAGAGAGCTGATCCTAGTGATCTCACAGAAGTAGGGCAGGCAAGGTTTGGAAAGGGGTTAGAACTGCTTCTTGACCAGCTCATATTGAAAAGTCATCAAGGGAATTGAAATAAAGGGACTCAGAATCTGAGTAGAACACAACTAACCACATAAAATAACAATCCAAAGGCAGGTGGGAAAACCCCAGCAGACCAGGGAGCAAAATGCACTAGCAGCTGCAGAACTGCTGCGATTCCCACTAGGGCTGACATCCCCATTCAACCCTGAATACACAATCCATGGCATGTGAAACATTCTTCCAGGTTCTCTGCCAAGGAGGGAAATATCATCTTTCAGAAACCAACATTCCAGGAAGGACTGGAGTCACCTTAACTGAGTGCCATGAAGTCCCAACCCAGGGAGGTGATGCACAAGGACGCCATGTTTGATGGGATCAAACAACATTGAAATGCCCAGCAGAATTAATAGGGGCAATTTCCCCTGTCTAGTTCCTGGCATTATCTGCCAAGGTGATCAAAGCTGTTTCTGTCTCATAACTGGGTCTGTAGCCAGTTTGAAACGGATCTAGATCATCTGTTTCATCTAGGAATCTTGGGAGCTGGGAGGCCACCAACACTCAAACACCATGCCCAAGGTTGGGATATTGAAGACTGGACCTATCACACGTGAAAATCAAACCTTCTTCTCCAGCATTACTTGCCCTATGGTCTGTATCCCTGCCTGGAGACCTAGAGAAGTGCAGCAATTCCCTGAAACTTCAACCAGCACTTTGGGACCTGGCAACTCAACAAATCAAATAAAGCTACTTCCAAGAAGGAAAGCAAGATAATGCCATCAGAAATCATTTGGAGAAGTAATTCTAAATCTAAGTGCAAATCCATAACACAAAGGAGATAGGTGGTAGCAGCAATAGACTTTGTGTTAAAGCAGAAAAAAATACCCACAAAACAAAACAAACCCACAACAGAATAAGGCTGAAAGCATTCCCTGAAATTCAGTAAGTAAAGGCTTCTGCTCTGTTAATCAGCCCAGAAAGAGAAAGCCAGCTTGCCAGTACTTACACCTGACGTAGCCAACAGAGATATACTTCATACTGCTAACTAGTCCTGGGTAGTTTCTGAAGCTTTGTCCTAGCCTCAGACCATTCCTAGTTAGACCAGGGGTCATGCTGACCAATCCTAGCTAGCCAGTTTATTTGGTCTTTAACAGTCATCCTCTTAATGTTTTAGAAGAGGTAGTCGTGTTAGTCTGTTCTAGCATCTCAGGCAAATAAAAAATAATGAACACAAAAATGTTGTGGGACCTTAAAGATTAACTGCTATATTTTAACATGAGCTTTCATGGATAAGTCCACTTCCTCAGACAAAAACGTACTACCCTGCATTTTAATAGAATATAGTGATTATAATCCTAATAACTTTGGTTGACTGCGCCTGGATTCATTCTAGATTTATTGCCACATAATGATAACTGCCTGGAGAAAGATGTATGTAATCTTATCCAGAAGAGTCTAAAGATGATGGCACAGATAGTGAAGCAGCATTTTTTTCAGACAGTACTTGAAGATTAAAACCCCAGGAGACTTACTTTACCTTTAGACTATTTTCGTAGTTGCTGCTAAAAGTGCTAGCTGAAAGGGCAGAGAGAGAGAGAAAAAAAGAGGAAAAGAAGATACAATGATGTCTTTCAGAACAAGGGTGGCCAACTTAAGCGTTCTCATGGGCTGCCCACAGACCATGATCTGAGAGTCAAAATTGTTTATTGCCACACAGGCCAAGCAGTTCAAAGTGATTAGTCGCTGGGAAATAAACAGGGGGGTACATCTGATTGCTCAGACAAGGAATCTTGAAGGAATTGTATTTCTAGACAGAAAACGTGCTATTAGTTTCACAGAAGGTGATAACTATATTTAATTTGACTCATGAATAGCCCTCTCCACTCTGAATCCATCCCATCTCCTTTTAAAGCCATCTATGTTAGTGGTTATCAATGCATCTTGTAGTAGCTATTTCTGCAGTTTAAGTATCACTTGCCATCTGGTCCTGACTTTTGTTTAGTTTCAGTTCCTGGTTGGTTTTCTGGTCCTACTTTCTAATTTCCACTTGTTCCCAGATCACTCTTCAGTTCTGGCTTCCGGTTTCTGGAACCTGTCTTTTTCTAGATTGTGGTCCATGACCCAGTCCATGAAAGATAGAACTCCATGAAACATGGAACATGAATCAGCCACTCTTCTTTATACTAGAGATGGGGGACATGTGTCCATTCCTATCAGCCTTATCCAGCATAACCTATGGTGAGACTCACTGTCTAGCATCAGTCATGATGGAACTGTAAGATTATACAGAAAACGGAAACACAGTTCTGAACATATGCAAGCCTGTGGTTCTGTTCCTCTTTCTTCGACTTTTTGGTATTCTGAGGAACTATGAGAGGAAAAAAAAGGTTTTCCTTTTCCAACAACAGACTTCAAGGCCTTCAGGGAGGGAGAGTATATTCTTTCTGGTTAAATATAAAAGATAAAAATCTTTTATCACAAAAGTAAGGCTATAACAGTATCTATTACAGTGTTTCTACTGTTTGAATGCAGCCATCTAGAATGCAAGCAATCACAGACTTCTGTCTCAGCTTTAGTGAAACAGGCATTCAAGGGGAAGAAAGCAATTTAGAGGCTGTCCACAGGCAGACATTTTCTACAGATATTCCTTGAATAATCTGGATTGCAACAGGAGAAGGTGGTTTATAGAGACTTTTCTCAGTCAAAAGGAAGGTTTCAGTGCCAAAATATGTACTGCTCTCTCCTTTTCATCTTTCTCAGAGACAAATGAGTTGCAAGAGTTTTCATTATTGCAGTTTCTTGTTTCACTAATAGTAATTATGGGACCTTTTTTCAGAGCTTGGAAAATTTCCATTTCGGTGAAGAAGGGATGGGGGAGGAGACAATAGTTCCTAAAATTCCCTAGTCAGTATGGCCCATGCCCATGATGGCTAAGTGATTCTGGGAGTTGTAGTTTAAAAAAAACTACAACTTTTCTGAGCCCTTTCTTTTCTTTGGTGACGAATCCATGAAAATGATTTAGGCTGTTGTCTTGTGCATGCTGGCTTTAGAATATACTGTGATGAACACAATGGAACACACAGTACTGTCTCAT